CTGTATTCTACCCTGTACACTGTTAAAAGCGTCTGCAATCACGCGAGTGAGGATGGCGCCTTGCTCGGCCTTCAACGTGCGTCTGGGTCAGTGTCGAGTGTCAATGTTGCTGATTATGATACAAGGGAATTCGGTCATTTCTTCCATCTAGCTGACAATGCTCAATCCCGCAGGCGCTTTTTATGAGCGTTTGGGGTAGGTCCACCTTGCTTCCTGAGCTCTCGTACCGCCGTCTGTAGGCCGAAGTGAAAGTGCGCAGCATTGATATGAGGCCACAGCAGGGTGGACCACCACTTAGCACGAACCCTTCCAGCACCGCTGGCTGCCAAGCCAACTCACAGCTACTGCCTCGGCTCCCACGCCCGCATCCAGCACATCCGAACATGCCCTAAGTTGATCCCGAGTCAGACCCGTCTGAAGCAGAACGGAAATATCGTAGAGGACTGTGACATTGAATTGGCATACGCCCGCATTAGCAAAAACAAAGATCTTTTGACTGCTTGAGGTCCAGCTCTGTTGCTTGGAAACACCAGCAGCACGTGCGGCTTCGACGAGCGCCCACTCACTATCCAATGTATCCTGAGCCGCTGCTGCTCGCGTGTCTGCCCTGACTCCTGCGCTCGACATGTCGGCAAGTGCGGACCTGTGTGAGGCGCAATGGCTTGGGAAGGTCAGAGGGTTAAGAATGGGCTAGTGTGACCAATCGTTCAATCGTGCTCGTAAACGCGAAGCAGACCTTGCACGGAGATGGTGGTCGTCATCAACGAAATTAGTCAAAGAGTCCGTGCTGAGTTGAGAGCCAAAAGTCAGACTAGAGTCTTGCGTGTTCGGTTGCGACGCGCTAGATGCGCGTGATGAGATTTCGTCACGTGTGTTGCAAGTGAGTCTTGATTCGAGTTTTGCGTGGGCTCACGCTCACGGCACGGTAACGCGACGCGGCGTGTTTTTCGTTCGATCGCGTGCGAGTGTGCCTCGATCGACCGTCACGAGAGGGAGCACGGCGTGTGAAAGGTATGCGAACCAAGCAAGTCTCATGCTACATGACGGAACAGTCAAGTCGAGTCTCGCATCGGTCGGCTAGGCTTTTTAGTGCGAAAGTTCACCAAGCAAGCCACAAATATCAGCCCTTTTCGTTTTGCCTCGACTTCACACAGCAAGCAACGCCATCCAGACATCTGTGAAAGGACGGCGCGGCGCGGCGCGGCGCGACTTGAACATGCTGCTGCAGATCCAAGCTTAGTCGGAAAACGGGCCTTCGCAAACGGTGGGGGAACAGTTGAGTATCCTGTCACACGTTCAGACATTGTCCGTCACGTACCGATGCTCAAGATTCTGAAAGGCAGGGCTAGGACCGGGTGGGAATGTGGCTGATGGCGGCTACGAGCAGGCTCCTTCGTTGCGCCACCCCCTCGGGACGGACGTGTGCTCGCGTTGTTCAATGTTCACTTGCAACCATACTCTCACGCGCAAGCCACATTTCGGGACGCGATGGGACTTGGAATGCCGAATACCCTTCTGTGGCTACCTTGGACCTTGACATTCACAGTCAAGGATGCTACCGCCGTCGCAAGGTTGCGCAGCGCATCCTCTGGCGCCTCCACTGACAGCCCGGCCCTGATTGGTCTCCGCGTATCGTATGCTTATCGCCTTATCATTAGCTTGCCGTGCAGCAAGCAGCATGCAGCTGCATCAGCTGTACCGGTAGCTGTCAGGCAGGAGGAGGTGCGCCGCGGCGCAGGCTACACGCAGCGATAGGCTGCAGGTCCGCACGACAACGCGCTGCTCTTCTTCCCCCGCGAACTGCTTATCTTCAAACGCATGAATCTTCTTGGGTGAGAGCTCAGGAACAGCAAGCCTCTGGTCGGGCACCAACTCTTGGCTTTCTTGTCAGTGCTCTCACGCTTCGCTTCTCATCACAAAGACCGAGAAGTTCAATAGGCAATCGATCATGCTGAAGCAGCGCGGTCGCGTGATCATGCTGGAACGTTGATCGGGCGCTGCCGTGACGCCTAAAGGTGAATGAATCCATCAGTCATGACTTTGAGTTTGAGTGCCTTGCTCGTTTTACTCGACATCGGTTCCGGCTGCAGTCGTGCCTCTATATAAAGCCCATGCTCGCTCCCGTTGGATGTCTGCTGCGTCCTGTCCACCACCACTGAAGACTTCCTTGCCCCCCCTTTTCCTTCCTCCACCTACCTCTCCACCCTCACTGATCCTCTTCTGCTCCGTCTCGCTTTCTGTCTTTATCACTCTTGAAGTGCTGCTGCAGACTCGTTTCCACCTCTCGCGCTTGGCCCAGACCCTGCCTCAAAAGGTTCCTCGACGACCACATCGACAAGATCGGAAAGTCGCTATAGAACGTCATGGCGGCCAGTGCAGCTCAAGTCTTGCCCGAAGGGGCTGGCTGGGCCGTCGTAGTCGGCCTGGCCATTGGCTT